CACACACATATACTTTTTGTTTTGCTGGTCCTCGGTCTTTATTTTTTTAGTCGGTCATGGGGCCTGAACTCTGGGCCTGGGTGCTGTCCTTCAGCTCTTCAGCTGTAGACTAGCGCTCTACCACTTGAACCTCAGCCACACTTCCAGCTTTTTCTGCTTATGTGGTGCTGAGGAATCAAACCCAGGGCCTCATGCATGTGAGGCAAGCACTCTACCACTGAGACACATTCCCAGCCCCTGGTCCTGGGTCTTAAACTCAGGGCCTGGGCACTGTCCCTGAGCTGAGCATCTTTTTTCCCTTTTTTTTTTTCTTTTCTTTTTTTTGTCAGTCATGGGGCCTGAACTCTGCATTGTCCCTCAGCCTAATGGAAGCACAGTACCACTGAGCCACCTTTCCAGCGCCCGCCCCCTTTTTTTTTTTTTGTCAGTTGTGGGGTTTGAACTTTGGGTCTAATGCTATCCCTGAGCTCTTTAGCTCTACTAGATCACTTCTGGTTTTCTGGTTGTTAATTGGAGATCAGAGTCTCAAGGATTTTCCTGCCTGGGCTGGCTTTGAACCTCAGTCCTTAGATCTCAGCCTCCTGAGTAGCTAAGATTACAGGCATGAGCCGAGCTTCTTTTGCTCAAGGCTAGCACTCTACCGCTTGAGCCACAACACCATTTCTGGCTTTTTCTGTGGATGTAGTACTGAGGAATCAAACCCAGGATTTCGTGCATGCTAGGCAAGCACTCTACCATTAAGCCACATTCCAAGCCATATTGCTAGAATTTTTAAGAATCTAAGCTTCTTAGTCTTGGGAGATGCCTACTGCTTATAGAATATTAGAATTAAGTAAACCTAACTGGTATGTAATAGCCACATAATGAAAACCCTTAAAGATCATGTTAAAGGTGGCCAATTATTCTAAATACACCAACAAGCAAAAGACACTTATAAATGGAAACTTTTATCTGTTATTTTTGTGACTAAAAAGAGATCAGTTTGGGTGTATTGTGAGAAATGGATTTAAGAGTAGCAAAAAGAGACACAGAGCCAGCACTGGTGGCTCACACCTGTAATCCTAGCTACTCAGGAGGCTAAGATCTGAGGATGGCAGTTCAAAGCCAGCCCAGGCAGAAAAGTCCATGAGACTCTTCTCCAATTAATCACCAGAAAGTGGTGCTGTGGCTCAAGTGGTAGAGCACTTGCCTTGAACTGAAGAGCTGAGGGACAGCGCCCAAGCCCAGAGCTAAAGCCCCACAACTGACAAAAAAAAGAGTCACAGAAAATGGTTACAAATCTATAGCATTTCTCTAGGTAAGATGACTAAGGTGACATTAAAGAAAGAAAAAAATATAAATTCCAGGGTTAGGGTTAGGGGTTAGGATTTATATGACATGGTGACTGACTGGATTGGATGATGAGAGAAACCCTGTCCCCCAGTGTGAATTCTCTGGTGTTGGGCAAGATGTGCATGCTGCCTGAAGCTCTTCTTGCATTCCTTACATTCATAGGGTCTCTCCCCAGTGTGTATCCTCTGATGCTGGGTGAGAGAGCCACAGTAACTGAAAGCCTTCCCACACACATTACATTCATAGGGTTTCTCTCCAGTATGAACTCTCTGGTGTTGAGTGAGGGATGAATCATTGCTAAAAGCCTTTCCGCATTTGATACATTCATAGGGTTTCTCTCCAGTATGTACTCTCTGATGCTGAGCGAGGTAGGTAATCTGGCTGAAAGCTTTCTTACATTGCTGACATTTGTAAGGTTTTTCTCCAGTGTGAATTCTCTGGTGCTGAGCAAGGTGTGAATTCTGGCTGAAGGCCTTCCCACACTCCTTACATTCATAGGGCCTCTCTCCTGTGTGTATTCTCTGATGTTCAGTCAGGTATGCACGCAGGCTAAATGCTTTCCCACACACATTGCATTTATAAGGCTTCTCTCCTGTATGAGCTCTGTGGTGCTGGGCAATAGAGGACCTATTGCTGAATGCTTTCCCACATACAATACATTCATAGGGTTTCTCTCCAGTGTGAACTCGCTGATGCTGGGCAAGGTAAGCAAACTGGCCAAAGGCTTTCCTACATACCTTACATTCATAAGGCTTTTCTCCAGTGTGAACTCTCAGATGTTGAAGGAGATGTGCATTCTGACTAAAGGCTTTATTACACTCTTTACATTCATAGGGTCTCTCTCCAGTATGAATTCTGTGGTGTTGGACAAGGTTGGATCTATGGCTGAAGGCTTTCCCACATTCTGCACATTTATAGGGTTTCTCCCCAGTATGGACTCTTTGATGAAGTGTGAAGGGTGAGCTCTGGGTAAAGACTTTATCACAGTAATTGCATTTCAAAACTTTCTTCTTTGCATAGACACCCTGGGGCTGAACAGTTGGGGAAGTGTTTTGAATAGTGTTCTGCCATGTGTCCTGGTTATATACTTTCTCCTGTTTGGGGATTGTCTGTTGTATAGGAAGCAGAATGTTCTGATGGAAACTTCCCAAAGATTTGTTAAAATCTTGTTCTTGTTTGTTAAGAAGGGCTTCTTCGTAAGTGACTGTTTCTTTTTCACAACTTGTCTTCTCATTTCCTGGTTGTCCCTCCAAATTGCCCTCACATTTGCCCTCTTCCTTTAAGCTGGAGTAGTCAAGGCCAATGTCTGCCAATTTTCCTGTAATCTTCTGACATGGCTGTGCTTGACAAAGCTCCTGTTTAGGGGCAGATTCTTCAGTCTCACCCATAGATTCCCAGTCTGAAAATTGAACATAAGAAACATGTCTTCTCTATTGTATATGAGAAATACATTCATAAATGTCCTTGTGTAAAGTCAAGTGTGAATTTTTTTGGGGGGGTCCGGTCATGGGGCCTGAACTCTGGGCCTGG